GCACACATGCCCTATAGCAAAAATCTCTCCAAAAAAAAAAAAAAGAAAAAGAAAAAGAAAAAGAAAAAAATTTCAGTTAAGAACTCTGTAAAGGAAGAAACTCTCTGTAGGGCAGACTAGTTTATAAGGTATTCAAAAAGGAAGGAGGAGACAAAGTGCTAGCGCTCATACTGTTTTCCTGAAGAATTAGGTAATAGTGGGCCAGGCTTCCACCCCTCTTAGCATTCTAACTACACTTAAGGAAGTGATTTACCCTACCACCTAAAAATCGTCTTTTTCTTGTGAAGGGTTTCCCCTTTACTGAAGTCATCAAGAGTCAATCAAATTCTACCATATTGTCAAAAGACAAAATTACAACAGCTTAATGATCAAAAATTGGGAAACTTCATTCCATAAAATTTATTAAGTGTTCCAAGGAGTTGTGCAGAAGAGGTTTGTTTTATAGCTAGGGGCTGAGGAGAAGCATAAACAAAAAGCAAAAAGCAGATAGGTTATTTCAGAGTTCCTTTCCTTCTAAGGGTTAAAGCAAAGACACTTCCTTATTATAATAGGTGACTCAGGCAGATTGGAATCTCTGGTTTTCAGGAAAAACTGGTCTGTTTAGGGGTCTGCTTCTTTAAATTTTCAGTTTGATGCTGTAGCATTTTATACGAACGACTCCATTTTGGTCTGGTCTTTTGGGGCCCAGTCCAGGAATTTAGTCTAAAAAAATGGCAGTTTTCTTTAACAGTATCAACTTCCAGCTGGTTTTTAGCATTTTCCGCAGGATGTGTTGTTTATGAAGTTGGTCCCAGCAGGTCTTCTTTAGAACTTTACAGTCAGTTAAGCTGAAAATTGTTAACTACTGGAATAATACCCCAGGGTGAATAAAGAGGCAGATTAGGAATTGGCAATAAAGAATATTTTTGATATGGTCACATCAAGTGTCTTTATACAAGTTATCCTATAATAATGGTTTAGAACAGTGAGATGGCCTTTCTTGAAGTCCTGGTTTTGAGTTTTAGTGCCACCTAGTGGAAAGGAGGAGGAAGTGATGATGGAGAAACTTAAGATGGTTCATTGCTCAGTAGATGGACTTTGATTTGATTAATTCCTTCAAATCCTCTATATAAAACAACTCCAGAAAATAGACAAGCAAAACCTTTACCACTTTCTAAGGAGAAACTTTTCAAGGCCCTTCATCAGTTAAAGGATTAAGACTAAACCCCTGTTTTGCTGTCTTCCCATGCTTCTTACCTTCTGATTCCAGCCTACCTTTTCAGCATTACTTGAAACTACTCTTCTCCATGAGTTTTTCCTACCAGCCAGTTGGTCTATTCCCCCAAAAAATTCATGAATAAAGACTCTTGTTATCTTCTCATTCGAAAGAGGCTGTCTCATCTTTTTTGCAATCTCCTGTTTGGAAGGACTTTACAGTTGCATTTGATATCTCCAATGTTTGTGCCTCTCATAAAACTCCTTCATAAGAAGTCCTTCGATCTTTTCTTTAATATCTCCAGAGGCAGTGAATTCGGCCTGATCTGAGATGGCCTGTTGTATTTTCAGTGATCTCTGACAGTGCTTTCTCAGAGTGGATCCATGACTAGCTCAGGAGCAGGGTGAGCAGATGCAGGTTGGGGTTTAGTACAAATTCTGGAGCAAGATGTGTGGGGTTCAAATTTCCGTTTTCTAACTTCCTAGCTGTGTGCCATTGAGCATATAACAATTTCTTTAGGTGTCAGATTTTTCACCTAAAAAGAAGGATAATAATTGTGCCTATTATTACATCAGGGTTATAAATCAGCTAATATGTATCAAAGTATTTACAACAAATAGTATGTAACCCATCATTTAAGCTTTGTATGTGTTGAATACCAATAATATTGAACAATATGTTTCAATGTGTATACTTGGAATACCCAACCTATAAGGTACTCTACTAGTTAAGATTCCGTAGGAATATAAGTCTGGGAAACACTTAGCTGCTTGCTGCATACAGATTGCTGTGTGTACACAGCTATATAATAATTAGCACAGTCAAGGCCATTAATTCCTAGAAAAAGACAACCTAACTAACTTTATCTAACATGTCATTTCCTAACCCTATATGACCCAAGAATTCTTTTTAATATAACATCTTAATATCTCATTACACAATATTGTTTTAGGAATGGGATCCTCAACTCAACAACTTTAATGACTGTGAAATAAAATGAAATAACTAAAGCTAAGTATTCCTAAAGTAGAGTTGGAAGACTATCTTTGCTGAAGGTGAAAACACAGAATGTTTCAACAAAGTTGGACACACAACTGAAGTCAGTATCCACTGCCTTCAATTTTTCTTATTGGGAGTACCCAATTAACTCACCAATCAGAATGGGTTTACCTTTTAGGATTTCTGCCCAGTCAATTAAATGTCTCTGAAAACAGTTTTTGTAAATATATTCTATTAAAAATAATAATAAAAAAGCTTTTCTACACTTGCTTTATGGAACATTGGTCAGGGCTTCCTTGAAACAGAGGACCAAATTGCAATTCTGTGTTTCCCAAGTAAACAAAATGAATGTGATTTACTTTGACCTCTGTGTCAGTCTTTCATATATTTTTTAAGTTAACAGAACAAAACAAAAAGTGTAAATCAGGGATGCAGGTTAGGTAAGTTATAGTATAGAGCAGAATGGATGGGAGAAAACAAGGGAATGCCTGTCTCACGTAAATAGCATTTCAATTTAGCCTGGAAAAACACTGACTAGGTCAAAGAACACATATCTGAACCTGGGCCATATTCAACAAATTTGTGATTTCTATAGAGTGAGAAAAGGGAACTGCGTAACTGGAGAAAGAATGAGTTTCTAGACACATTGAAGAGAATACAGCAGAAGAGATGACGAATGAAAAGTAAGAGATATAGCTGATATAGAGCTCGTTCCTGGGAAGAAAAAGAGGCAAACAGAGAGGTCTCTAGCTTTAAAGAGAGAATATATTAATTTCATATTTCTGCTGTTACAAACTACCACAAAATTATGGGTTTAAAATAAGACAGATTTGGAACCAGTAGGTGGTGTGGTGGTTAAGGTACTGGACTCCCACATAGCTGACTACCAGACTAAAATCAAGGTGTCAGAAGGGCTGCATTACTTCTGGAAGCACCCCTTCTTAGGTTCTAGAGGCTTCCTGTAGACCTGGCTTGTGACTTCTTCCTCCAGCCAGGGCATGTGGCGTCCTTCTCACTTACCGACCCTCTGACCTCCTGTCCTGCCTCCCTCTTCTATCTTTAACAAACTTTGTAATAATGTCGATTCCACCTGGATCTTCCTGGGTACTCTTCCTGTTTTAAGGTCACTTCATTAGCAACCTTGATTCTAGCTGTAGGTTTAATTCTCCCCCATGTAACACATCATATTCACAGGTTCAGGGAATTAGAAGTGGACATCTTTGGAGGGGGGGGCATCATTCTGCCTCTAACAAAGGGTAAGAAGGAAGAACGCTAAAGCAAGACCATATATCTATGAGGGGTCAGTCTAGGGCTTCCTCATCTTCCTCTCACTTCATCCAAACTATCTGTCCTTTTACCTTATAACAACTGGAAGGTTGGGAAAGGAGAAGCAAACTGAAAACCACTTGGCAAGAAATTATGTTTGTAATTCATGGTGTGAATCTCTAAATAAAGATGACATGTCTTTCTTTCTTTTTCCTTTTTTGAGAGGTTTTTGCCATAGGGCGCATGCACTCTCCAGAAAAAGAGAGAGACAGAGAGACAGAAAGAGAAAAAGCACCCCCCTGGGGGGATGGCCATGTGCAGTCCCTTCTCCTCCATTCTTCTCTCAGGATCTTCAACACGCATGTACACGTGCCCAGTGTGAGCTTAAGCCACCAGGTCCAGGACTTGAACTGCAGTCAACTACATGAGAGTCCAGCAACATAGCCATTTCGCCAACTGCTGGTCCCGACATGTCTTCTAATAGAAAGAAAATAGTTCAGGAAAACTGCTTGATGATGTCAAGTTCGAAGAAAGATTACTCTCCATGAAAATGGACAAATAGAGAGATCCTCTTCTAGGAAGATAAACTCCCCCAAAGCTACCCTTCCGCCATTGGGGAGTGCGTTATTCCAGAAATATGCCCCTCCTCCAGGCCCATGCAGTCTTCCAAAAGGCTGCGTAGATGGACAAGCAATGCACTTGCACCTGTGACTGGGTTCTGTTGAACGGGACACAACCTTCACAACCGTAGGGATAGGCAGCAGACAGCCTAAGCACTGGGCGCCCTTGAGAAAGATTCTCCTTACCCTCTGTCATGCTCAGAGATGTGCTTCTTTCATAGTCTACCTCAAATTTTGAGGATTTTCTCAACATATTTTGTACAGAGCTCTAAAATAGCCCATAGCACATGTTGCCTTGGTTTCTTCCATAATTATCTTCCTTCTTGACAGTGAATTTCCTGGAAGTAAAGGATGTTTAATTTTATTTTCTTCCCTGGGAGAGTGTCTGTATTTAAATCATTACATTTGCTACTGATGGAGTATATGAAATGATATTATTGATACATTACATCAATTTGAAACATTGCTCGTTGAATAGTTGAGTGCATATCAGAATATTTATGTGGCATCTTGGTACTCAAAATGTGGTTCTCAAGCTCACCTGAGAGCTTATGAGAATGTGGCATTAGGGTCCTCCCCAGAGAGATGTGGCACCAGAATCTTTATTTTAGCTTTATTCTCAGGTGAGTTGGGAGGATATTAAAAGTTTGAGAAGCACTGAGAGAGCAGCGGGCAAGAGTTTTCCTCTTTGTCCGTATGTTAGTTCTGGTCTCTCTTCGTTTTAAAGCCACAAGGACTTGATCACAGGGGTCCCTGCTCTGATGACTTTATATAATCCTAATCACCTCACAACAGCCTTGTTCTTAATACCATAGGTCGATTAAGTTTCTACTCTCTAATATTGTTACAAAGGCAGTTAAGTTTGCCAACAGGTGAACTTTTGTTGGACACATTCGTAACACTCTTCTTCTGGCAGGCAACATTGTGTAGGAAGGGCTCATTTTAAAATGGTGAGCTGACTTAAGAGTCACTTAATGGAAATACCACGTAGGTGCTGCGTAAGTATGGCAAATTGTGAAGGAGATAAACAAATCCTAAATATATGGGAAATAGTGAACTAACCTCTAAAGGTGGCAATGAATTAGCTAAGTATTTACTTTCCTGCAGTTTTCATACCACATTGTTACACCAGCCCAAAAGGTATCTGATTCTTTTTTCCTTTCCCCCTTAAGTCCCCCCCCCCTTTTTTTTTTCCTGCCTTGATCACTAGTTTCAAGGTTTTGCCTTATTTCTTCTTTTGGTCAGTCAATAGACATTTGTCAGGCAATTGTCTACTTCCTATTTGAATTCAAGTCTCTGTTCCTCCAAATATCACATTAAGCCATCATGCCTATGATCTCAGAAATTCTTTTATGGATCTTTATAAAGTAATTCCAGTATCACTGAAAACTGGGAACAGATCAACTTTCTTCAGGTTTGAGTTCATCATGAAGAACAATGAACACATAGAGATTACAATATACAACTGTAAACAGAAGTTCACCAATTCACATGATAAAGTTCTAGCTGTCCATGAAGCCAGACCAGCAGAGCAGTATTGGCTCTTCAAATCTCCATTCAGACGCCACATGGCCTAGTAGCGGAACCTGCCACATATTCATTCTAGCTTTGATATGTCCATTGATCAGCCAGATTGGGCATTTTCAGACAAATAACAGCAACAAGTTATGAAGCAGTAAAAGAACACTTTGCTCTGAATTGCTAATTGCTAGTTGCTGCCTTAGGACTGTTATGGCATTAATCCTTCTGATTTTTAATCTTTGCATTTACATATTTTATGCTTGTTCTTACCATTTGGTATTTTCTACCAGAACTAACTATATATCATTATATATGTATAAATGTATATATAAATGTTTCTTTGCTCTTCTACTTGCACACAGACACACCTTCCATTATCTATTTATAAAATGACTGAAAATCATTACCTTGCCCTCTTTAATCCTTGTTATAAATCTCTTATTCTCCTGTGTTTAGGAAGAATTAAAAAAATTTTTTTAAGTTTTATATTTTATTTCTCCTATGAACAAAAGAGAGAGAGAGAGAGAAAGCAAGACAGAACCAGTGCCGTCAACAAGGTCTTGATGTCGAGATCCAACTCCGCCTCAGATAGCTCTGGATTATCGGTATGCACATTTCCAGAATACTCAAGAGAGTTCTCATGGATGCAACTCGGGAACCTTCACACATGGGTCAGTCTCACAGAATGTCATGTTTACTTTTAAATCACTGTCTGTTAGGAATCTCATGTGACATATAGACTTTTTAATATGGATTTTTTCCCCCTATAGTTATAACCATGGATGCAGTCATTCTTATATGTCCATGGGACTTCTATCTAAATCATTCAGATTTCTTTTTTTATAGTGTCTTTCAAAATATGATTCTTTGTTCTTTGATATTATAAAATTCCTTAAGAAAATCTGTAAAGAGATACAAATATTTTGAATATGCTGGAGTCCTATATGTTCTACACTTAGCATTTATTTTTATAACTTAATTTTTTTTTTAATCTTAAAATTACTTTGAAGCAGGACAGCTAGAAGTCTAGCAGGACTGCAGCATTTTGGAATTCAAAAAGGCCTCTAAGGAGAACAATCTGAATCCATGCTGAGTCATGGAAAGATCTTTTGAGGAATGGTCAGATAAAAAACCAGGAATGGGTATTTAAAGAAAAACAAGAATGAGGATAATTACTCAAAGGAAAGTAATTGACTTTAACTGATTGTAGTCAAGAATGATTTGCATGAGCTTGTATCTATAAATACTGAGCACATGCTGAGGTTTTTGGGACAGTTTGGTGGTGCTTGCTGGCTATTTTCTTATAATCCCATTGCAGAAATAAACTCTCCTCTTCTTCAGCCTCTGCCTCTCATTTCATTGACTGAGTAAAAGCAGCTAGACTTTGTTTGCTGGAAACAACTTTAGGTAATGATTGTTGAAATAGTTTCATTTAAGTTGTTTCTTAGAACGGTTATGGTTGTTGTGTAAAACCAGCAATTTTAAAAGTATTTGAAAATAGAGTAGAATAGTGGTTATCAGGGACTGGGAGCTGGGATTGGAAAACTGTGTTGGTCAAAAGATAGAAACATTTCAATTAAATAGGAAGAATAAGTTCAAGGGACATGTACAACGTGGTAACTATAGTTATTAGCAATGTGTTATATTTTTGAAAATTGTGAAGAGAGTAGGTTTTAAGTGTTCTTACCAGAAAAGAATAAGTATATGAGGTAATATATAATGTGAATTGGCTCAAGTTAGTCATTCCATAATGTGGACATATTTTAAAACAACATGTAGTCTACAATAAATATGTACAATTTTAATTTGTCAACAACAAAAAGATTTGTGCTAGCCCTGTGACTTGGTGCTTTGGGAACTATAATGGATCTAACATGGCTGACCAAGTAGTTTAAATCCCAAGCCCCATGGCTTAAAAAAACACACCACACATGTATGAGTTTTCCCTCTTCCCTTTCTGTCTGTCTCCTTCTGGTAAGTGTGCAGCCTCTGACAAAAAAAAAAAAAAAAAGATTCAACATTTCAAAAAATAAGTCCTTTTGGCAAATGAAAAATCACTTAAAATCACACTCTTCTCTTAAGTTGTTAATATTAACACGGATGGCTATAGCAAAAAGGGTCATTATATATCCTTAAAGGACATTTCACTAAATATATTCAGCATTAAGGAGAAGTGTTGGCAAGAAGAGTTGAAAACGAAACTTCAAGACAACTTTTTAATTTTAAATTCTATTTTTTGGTGTGTCAGTGTCATTTTTGAGGAAACATACACTCTGCTGCAGCATAATAAGGACATAAAAAAATAAGCAATGGAAGTGTTTTTTATTCCAATGTAGAAAAAGACAGTCTTTAGGCAGGTACATAAATAGCTCCTAAGACAGTTCGAGGCTTCCTTCTTGCTCATTCTGATGGTCCATTCAGGTGACTAGTTCAAGACCAATTTGGTTGCAATGTATATCCTCTCCTTATCGTTTTAATCACATTACATAAAAATTATTTTGTCTTAACACATAATTGGGATTTTCTTTACTAGAAGAGGATTAATATTCTTGCAAATACTACACCAGAACATTTCATTTTTTCCCTGAAAACATGTCCCCTTGAGATCAAGTATGTAGGGGAAAGATAACATTTTGGTATTCTTACCAACATGAAAGTTTTGCAAACCAGCCTATTTTCATGAGAGAATTTTAAAAAGTTTTTATATTTTCTGTGAGCACAAGAAGAAATAAACCTAGAGACTCCAACCCCTAGTAGGGTTTTTCCACTAAAAAGATAACCTTTCCAATGTAGAGATAAAATCAACTCTTCCATCTCCATGTTTTTCAAAACCCATATACTTGAAATAACTGACTTTTAAATTTGTTATGAAATAGCAATGTTTCCTCTTATAATTTTTTGTGTTTTTATAATTTGTTTACATGTAGTTGTACATCTTTGTAAGCCACAACATGCATACAGTGTGAGACAATCAAAGAAAATACCACTTTCATCATTTTCAACAAAGAACACCACATTTGAGAAACATATATGATATACATTCGTATATTTCATGTATGCATAAAATAGAATGGCAATGTCTTTTTTTTTTTTCACTCAGTCGTGGTATACCTTTCTATAAATCATTTGTCTCACCTACTTACATTCCCATGTCTGCTAAATGCTTTCTTGACTGATCCTTTCCTAACCTAGCCACCCTTTACTCTCTACCTACTATGGAGTCTCTGGTATCTACAGTTGTCTTGACTGCTTCTATGTCTTCAAATATTTCAATTTCTTCCATAGAGTGCAGACATTCAGTATACACTGAGCAAGGACATATAGTGACAATCTTTCAGAGTCTGGCTTATTCCACTTAGCCTTGCATCTAGATTTGACTACTTTGTATCAAATGATGGGATCTTAATGTTCTTCATGGCTAAGTAGTATTCCATTGTTTATATTTGCCACTTGAATCATTTAAAAAATTGCATTTATTTTGGGCCAGTGTTGGTTAAGGTGACTAGATTTCACAATGGACCACTGTGTGGTCTAAATCCTGGACCTGGTGGTGGCTTGAAAAAGTTCACTGTGCACATATGCATGCCCAATATCCTGGGATTGCAGTGTGACCCTTTCTTGGGGGAAAGGGGGCTGTAATTTCTTACTCTTTCTCTCTCTTTCTGCCAAGCGCATGCACCCTATAGCAATTTTTTAAAATTGCATTTATTTCAATAGAAATTGAGTGAATACATTAATTTCCTTAGATTTGTACCTAAGTTATCTGGGACTTAATCTCAGTGCCACTGCATTTAGCCATGAGACACTGGCTAAAAGT